TATGACCCTGTATACCTTTTTCAGAAATCTTATTCTACATATATTCAATTTTCTATTCAATGATGTATAACAAGTATTACTTTCGTTGTAAAATGACAGCTGCATAAAAGAATTTGTGAATAAATCTCCATAAGCTATAGGTATTACAAAACAAAATTTAGTTTTTTTATTATTAGCTCTAAATGAAAATGCATTTCCAATAATGTTCTGAAAGCTACTATCGGTTCAGTAACAAATTGAAATTACAACTATTTCATATAAGCTACCACTCGTCTCAAGAAAGTAAGGAGGCTATGAAAATGTAGCATGTCTTCAAATAGTATTTATTTGAAAAGAATAGTAGGCTGTAGAAAACAAATGAAAGACAATTCATAGCGTACCCATTATTGTTTAGTTATTTGACGTTTGGCAATCTTCGTTTCACTTAAATTTATTTTCACTTATTCCTATTCCATAGTTTTCAATTTTGCAATATTTTTTTATAACTAGAATAGTTGGGCAATATAGGTAGAATACCGTTACAAGAGGATACTATTAATAATTTCAGTTTGTAATAATCAAACAAAGGCAGTCGTTTTATTAGTCTCTTATTATAAAACAGAAAACAAAAATATTACGTTGCCTGAAATTACATAATGTCATATTTGATACATCATTGGAAAGGGAATTTAAAATTTTGCATAGAATGCGACTATGGAAGAAAATATACAGGTTTCCATTTGAAAAACGAAAGTCAATGTCACTGGCGGTTAAACCGGAAGGGAGAGATAACCATTCAACTTTCCAGAAATGCCTCTTAATGACTAACTAGACATGTCCCAATCTTGGAGCGATATCTTTATTTGCCAAAAAAGTACAGCATGTTTCCAATTTTCACTGTCACCCAGTATAGCAAAAGCTTTTGAAACATTATAAAACGAATCTGGCTAGGTTCCTCAGTTGCAGTGCTATTATAAAGAGAAACATTTTTAGAAACTCATCGCGTTAAAAGATAGATAATATGTCATAACCAAATACAGAGTTACCAGTAGAAGAACCACTCCATTGAAAAAACGGATTCTGCCGCGGTGGCTGAGATAATACCTCTGGTGGTTGAAATGCTATATGCCATTTGGATGCGATCACCCATTCATTACCTGCGGTAATTGTCCAGGAAGTATCATCTCACTGCTCGGAAAAATATTCTGATAAGGTTTTGTGCACAACATGCAAATTCATTAGAAGGGGCATATTTTTAAAGAGATCATGCGAAAAAACAATCAAAATATTTTTCTCAACGAAGGTATTCCTGTAGTACCTAAGTAGTGGAATCCGTTTTTTCACACAGGAGGTCAGGTATCGAGGTGTAATTGATGAAGAAGATCCATCCAAAGTTTGTCCATGATTCATAAGTGTTCCAGTGTCAAAATCGCGATATCACAATCACATGATCAATTTGGAGGCTTGATAGTGCCTTTTCTGAGCTTCGTTGAATATGTTATGGAATTTGAGGAAATATTCACAAATAACTTGGCTTGTACAGACAACGCAGGAAAACGACTGAAAAATGAAGTCTTGTGCGTGTTTCACTCACCATTGTGAACAGTCTGCTGATATTTTTTTTTAACTTTATACACAAGTCACCATTTATTTTCAATTCAGATTTGTCGACAGGAATATAGTCACTACTAGCGCAAATCAAGTTAATCCTAAATTGAGAACATTAACTCATCTTTAGATTTATCGAAATATATCGAAAAGTGAAAACAATTCGCAGCGGTCGATTCTGGTAACAGATGGCTCTTTGTGTTGTCTTATTTCGATAGACCTTATTCTATAGATAGAGGGTATAGCTGCTCAGCTTTCGTTCATTGTCTTACCTGAAATCAAGCCTGCACGATTACTTTATTATACAAGGTGGGCCATTAAGTTGAGCGAACTTTAAAAAATCATAGAAAAAAAACTACAAAGCCTAGGGAAGATAATTAATATTTTTAATAAAGTAGACACATGGGAATTTTATTTTTGAAAAATAACATCATTGAGATGTAGATTTCATTTCTTTCACGTTATTTTCCATTCTTTATTTCACTTTTTCACCTAAATACAGATAAGAAAACTTAAAAAAACATTTGTCGCCCTTACAAACATTTTAAAACTACAGTATATTTCAAGTTTTGACAAAATCGGCACAGCGGTTACTATGGTTACCTAATGACAAAGAGGACAGTACGACAGATGAATCATCGCCAGTCAGTGACGAAGAGGCTAAAAACTGTTTTCCAACTTGCAATCATTTTAAGCAAAGGTTATTTGTGATACACTGTCCATGCCACAAAAACAATAATGACATTAATCACCCTGTATAAATATATTTACTCAATGCCGTTACAAACAACCTATTCCGTTCATGCGTCAAAGTACGACAGAACTACTCTGTATAAAGCAATAAAAGAGGCATCTAAATAAAGGATCGGAGTTCTCAGAAAAATCTTCAGCAGATCAAAGTCTTTTTCACGAGTGCTCCCTCTACTGGTAACTCTGTATTCTTTGGTCATAACAGTCTGTACTTCTTACTTATTTGAAGTGAGTATTAAACTTATTATTAGCACAGCACAACTATAGTCTCCTTTACTAAAATGATGCTATTGTAATTAGAAATACTATCATTAGGAAAGTTTAATGATGTTGCTACCATAATTTCCTTTTCAACAGTGTCCCTATTATAAATGCAGAGACATGGATGCTCAAGGTATCAGTAGTCTCTAATCATATTAGCAAATTTGTTTAAAACATGGACGCATAAAATGGGTACCCCAATTTTTGTGAGAAAACTTTTTATTCAACAACAAGGAATGAGAAAACGTGTTTTTGCTATTCAATCAAAACTGTTGGCAGGAACGGAAAAACTCTTCATATAAGATTTTTAGCTTTATGAGACCTACAAAATGAGACCACACGGATCATACCAGACAGTTTTTGAAAACATCCATCTTAGATGGGCAAATTATTAATATTAACAACAGTGAAATACATCCGAAATTTTGACTGTGCCATGTAAAAATTTCAGCTCTGAATATGCATACATAAGAGACATTTTTTTTTCTTCGCAACAAAAGGTGATAGACACATCCGCTTTGTTTTAAATGTATATAATAATCTATGCTTTTCGAATATCATAGCGCGTCTATTCAATTACTCACAAATACAAAATGGTTGGATTTGTTTAGAAGAAAAAACGTAACCCTTTGTTGTTCGCATAAAAATAACAATTATCTTTCAGAATGGTTTGTGATTGATATTGGCAAGGTAAACTCGTGTATTTTACTATAAAATGCCATTTGCACAAACCCTGTATATTGCTCAATAAACTAGTAGTGATGGCTGAAAAGCAGGTGTTTTGGGATAAGCAACTAAAAATTCTCAAAAACTACTTGAGCAATCTTCTCCAATTTTGTTGTGGTTATTTACAAGTATGAAGCCTACGGATTTGAAGAATTTCAAGTAGCTGCGTGAAATTATCGTCGCATTACCAACAAGTGCCAAAACCTACATTTTGCCTAGGTTTCCGGCAATAAGTTTTTTGCTATTGGTCGGATCTTTTTACGTTCGGTCTCACTTTGTAGGTCTCGTAACCTAAAAATCAGAATAGTTTTTTCGTTCCTGCCAACACGTTTGATTGAATCTCAAAAAACACGTATTCTGATTCATTGATGTTGAATAAAAAGTTTTCCCACAAAAATTGGTGTATCCGTTTTATGCATCCATGTTTTAAATACCCCATTGAACAACTCGCATCAATAAAACCAAACATTACAACAAGTACTGATCACATTCTTTGTAACTATTTGGTAATCAAATCAAGAGTATCAAGTGTCTGTAATAATTATTGAGATGAGCTAATTAAGTTATTTAAAGTAAGGACATGCTTGAACACAGTCATACAAGTGTTACTATTAGTATAAGATCTGAACTAGAAACAACCTTCACCCATGTGTTGGAATGAAAAGTATTTAATATCAAATTTAGTATGCTAAAAAATATATGGCGATTGGGCTTACTAAAAAATTTCTGGCAAGGCTATGATTAATTAAAAATAAAAAAATTACTTTTTATTTAATATTGCACTAAATTTAATACCAACCACAATTATGAAGCCTTTAGAATATAGAAATGTTGGGTTGCCTATTTTTTTCCTGGCATAATTACTAGGTGGTTGTCAGGTATAAATGGGTATGTTGATACCAGTTATTTTCACCCATTTGTTTGATAAATAAATCATATATCAAAATAAGTGGTTTCAACAGGAGCATGATGATATAGGATTGTCTGCAAGAAACCTGGTTCTGATGATGGTAGGTTGGTTTTTACAAATTAATTTTGATGCAGATGGAAACTTGTGACAAAGAGGTCTAAGATCAGTATCCTGTGCAATACTCTACTAAAAACTGAGCCCAATTATGGAGCAGCTTGCAGTAGATTTGGCAAAAAAAATTATGAATATATAATGAATTAAATGTATACCGGGTGTTTCAAATTCAACTCTCATCTCTCAGAAACTATGAAAATGTTTGCATATTCTGTAGGGTTCATAGGTACTTTTGGTTGGTATTAAATTCATTCATTAAACTCATTACTGCAATGTTTAATGAAACATAATTTTTCAATGTTTAATTAACCCTAGTTTCGCCCGGAGTTTTTTAGCCAACCCACTCGCAATATATTTTTTAATATACTAAATTTGATATAAAATACTTTTCATCTGTTGAACAAATTGGTGAAGATCTTACACTAACTACTATCTACCTTGTGCCAAACTTTTTAGGCAATTGATCTCTCGCTGTTGAACTGAACCCAGACAAAAGACTTTAGATTAGTTTCCATACACTATTTAGAAAGCATTCAGTCAGAAAACATTGTTTTCAGCAAGTTGATAATCTTAAAATGGATCAAGATTTGGAATAACAAATTATGGTTGTAGAATTTTTTAAGAAATCAGATAAGATACAAAGTTATCTTACTCAGTTAGAATATTGCAGATATCATTGGAGGCGTACTCCAAAAATCCTCCGTAACCGTGAACTCTTGAAGAAGAAAGCAACAAAAGTTGTCTTTTAACCATTATCAACGGCTTCGTAAATGCTAGTTTGTCCAACGGTTCTGACTTGAATTGGCACCTTATACTTATGAGGACCTTAGAAGATACTTAATTGGCACGTATGAGCATGAGATAAGAAATGATGAAAAGATAATGTGATATGAATTATGACAAAAAATATTTACAAAAATGCTTGGGGTGCTTGCTGGCACAAAACATATACACAGAAGAAGATACAGTCTGAGTCTCGTTCTATCCATAGGACAACACGGTTGACTTATGTCAGTGTCAAGCCGCCATTTTCTATGGATACAACACGAATGCCAGATTGTGTGCAAGCGCTACATATGACGTTGCCAGCTCGTTGCATAGATCTGAGGTTGTTGTGTAATTTTATAGAGCCTATTTCTAATGGTATATTTATGGAAGATTTTATAGCGCCGTGTTACTAACATATGTTTGCTGTTTTGACAAACAAGTACTCACTTATCTGTTGAAGCAGCAGCATCAATAATGCAGGCCATTATGAAATCATCTACTAATAATACATTTATTTGAAATTATGAGAACAGTAAAAAATCTATACCTACTTGAGAATATAACTTTATCTATATTTTATATTGTATGAACATGTCAATAATATGTATGGTGCAAATATTTTCAATCTTGGTGATGGTCTTCTGCAGCACCTGCATGGAAACACTGTTAGAATTAGTGATGAAAACATTTTTTTTTCAAAAGAAATAATGGTTATCGTTAACGACTGCAAGGTTACTAGGGTTACCAGACTTTTCATAAGAATTGTAATACGGGAATATCTAATCACATTTCCATAAAATTTATAATCATAGTGTTCAAGTTTTGTGGAACATATGATTCTATATAGTTTAGGAATTTTTGTACAATCGTTAAAATATATCACACTTCGTATAAGATTTTATATGATTCAAACATGTTGTCTATACAGGGTGACTTCGAAGTTGAGTCATTTATTTTAACAGTGAGTAGATCTGATCAAAAGAAATGTTTTTTCCTTTACCATTTTTCTGGTAAAATTAAAGTAACAAAGTTATAGCCCTTTGGAAGTTTGAGTACCGCCCTGTCTCAATAATAATATTATGTGCTCGTGTTTGGCAACAACGGATATAATCCGCCTTATCGGTTCATCGCATCGGAAACAAAAAAGCGAAAGAATTTGGAACGATGTTTTTACAATTATTTTATTCAGTTGTATACAGTCAGTGTCAGTCGGTAACGCGTGAGTGAATAGTGGTGTCTGTTGCGTGGCTCAAACGAAATCAAAAATGGCACATGTTTACGAAAATGCTGAACTTGTGGACATGATTCTTATTTTACAAAATGCTGCTACGGCAACACGGATTTATGCGGATCGGTTTCCCAATCGAGTGCAACCAACCCCTAGTGCCTTTGTTAATGTAGTACAAAGGGCTCGTGAATCAGGTGACTTAAGTCCTCACACGGGAGGGTATGTGCTCCAAGACCGCACGATCAAATACAGGTCCGCACTGAAATACCTGTCGGGAGGATATTTTATAAAACAAGGTAACATTTTTTTTAATTTTTACACACATATTTTGGTTTATCTTCCTTCTACAATCATTATCTGAAAACTAATGACTCAACTTCAAAGTCACCCTGTATATTATTAGAATATCTGACTTTCGGGTCACTGAAATCGTCTTCTTTATAAGCGACAAAAATTGAAAAAAGTAACCAAACCCTTTATGTTGAAGTACATATTCAAACTTGAAACTCACTGAAACTGTCGCAAGTGTCATCAACTACAGGATACCAATATTAACAGAAAATCTTTACAAATCACTAAATATATTCTAAACTTACATTAGCCATGTAGCAGTTAATCTATATTCTATGAATCTCTGATCACCAAAAAGAAAATGGGTTGTTCTCTTATACAATTTCACCAACATATTAGGTGTTACACTCCAGATTACAAAGTACATCAACTCCATAAAAGAAAAATCTAGTTCAAATAAAAACTTTAATAAAACTTGTGGTTACGAAAAACCTACATTAGACTTTAAGAGATGACAGCAATAAACCGCCATACTCGTCAAAACCGCCATTTTTGTAGATGCCACAGTGCTGTCAGGTTTTGGTGCGGCAACACCGCATTGTTTCCCATTCTTCCATATGACTTGACTCCCCATACTACTGAGAATATTGCTGATACAATAATCAAACTCAAGCGGATAACCAAATGGAAATGGTATTTACCATTTTGGATTGGTATTTACCGATCTGTTCAAGTGAGTATGGTTATCAGTTTGGTTATAAGATCCGTGACGTCATGAATCAGCTGTTATATGTCATAGTTATCACCACAAAATTGTGGTATTATTACCCTACTCGGAAGTAGTTTTATATTTCTGGTTATTATTTGACATGTGACAAGTTAGAATTTTGCTGGGTATTGGATATTTTTATTGTACTTCAGCTTCATTTTTTGGGAAACTTGATACAGGCTGACCTCAGTTTTAGCATAAGAGAGCACCTTATTATTTATAATCATTACTGTTGTTGGGGACACTTTAAATCTAGTTCCTACGCTTAACAAAGTATCCTGTATAGCCATATACTACAAGAATATTAAAATATGGCCGTATAAACTCACTGAATGATGTCCACCTGTATACGGTTTTGTTAATAACTTTTTTCATCGCTTTTTCATCATTTCTGCTAAATCAATAAATATTTTCTTTGACATGCGGAAAAGTTTAGAGAATTGAAAGTTAATAGCTAGAAAGCCATGGTTCCATCAGTAAAAATGTTTTTCTGAAAAAAAAACATTCGTCCCATTAATATTATGAAAGTTTTATTTTTTTCAACTTTCCATACCTCGTTGTAGACGAAAAAGCACCGATTATTAAGTGATAATAAAAATAATCAGAAATTATATATGCGCTTTTCTAAAATAAACAACTTGCAACAAACCGCGATTAAAACCAACGCGTTCAAGCGATTCGAGTAACTGACGTCATCATCCCGTGTGTCATCTTGAACCATATTATAACCGCGGTACATAATACGGAAATTTTGGTTATCCGCTTGGATTTGATTAATGACTTGGGTGACATTTTGGATGAAGTAACTTTTCTGCAATTGCCGGAAGTATTATGCATCTGACAACGTTGTATTGGGACACACAGTCTTTCATGAAACGTGACATATACTTGACTAACATAGTATCATGGCCATTTCATTTTTCAAATTTAAAAGGATAAATTCAGATCTAGTGTGTTGTGGAACGTTAAACAATACAAGCGCTTCAATTTTGGTAGAATTTCGTAATTTCGTTTGAAACATGTCTGAACCACAATCTGAAGTAGAAAACTCTGAAACACCAGAGATTATTGAAATCTTACATTTCAGTAAAAACAAAACCAAAGGCAAGTATACCACATCTCAGAAAGAGTCAGATGATATACAAGATACCCAAGAGGAAAACGAGTTTGATGAAGCCATAAACATTCTCTGCATTATTTACAAAAATGGAAAGATGGGAGCAGCGTATTACAATTTTCAAGGGAAAGTGGTTTGTATCACTTCTTTTATGTATTATATAAATGTAATATGTTTGATTTAAAGAAGACTGTTTAAAGTTGTAGTCACTGTTCTTGGCGTTTACGTCATCAACGTCATATGAAATAAGTAAACAGATCGAGTCTCCGTAACATGGGCGGAACACTGCGCAGACTAATCTTCAGCACATCTGCTACTCCCTTCAGTACGCACGAAGTGGGTAACAGGGGACCGCTGTTTTCATTCTCTTCCTGCAAATTAATAAATTTAGCACGAGCTGTCGGCCTTCTCCATTGATCGTATTTCCGGGTATTGTACAATTTTATTTTGAAGATTGATAACAGGACAATCCAAATTGCACGCCGATGACAAGTTACTTGTTACTGACAATTATGATTGAAGAGCACTCGTATTTAGCGACAAAGTTTTCGAGACGGAGACACACAACTAAAATACCTATGTCTTTGAGCTTACCGAACAAACGTTCACAGGCAGCGGTAGGTTGTATGTATGACGGAGATGGCTATATATGAAGGGATACTGGGTCTTACTTTGACCCGCCAAGAACGGTGACGACAACTATAGCAGACGAATTAACAAATTAGACATTATGAAGGTTTTATATGATATTGTGTAGGTTTCCCTACAAGATCACAGACAAAGATGTGAACTAGGAACTTGCTGTCGTTCACTTCATGCCCACTTGTAGCAGGCGCGGAATGAACTATTTGCACACTACCAGTTATCTTAGTCAACAAGTTTACATTATTGTTTTTTGAAATTATATAGGTAGGTTTTATATGTAATAAGTCTGCAGCATGGGTATCATGTAAACAATCCATAAAACGTCAAAAAAACCTATAAGATGTCATCTTGCAAACTAGGTAGTTTTTAGGGCGCAAACAGTCATTCCACGTTTGCTTACTAGGATCGTTGTGAACGTCCATCTAAGGAGGAATCACTCAATTAAACTACACGCATTATTGGTTGCATATGTGTTGTGAGGTCAAATGGTCCTTGTCTGTAGTTTTTATCTCTGAGAAGAAAGTTGGGTGAATAGCATCTGGATGATTATGTGTATTGGTCTGCATGTGTATAAAATCAGTGATATTTGCTGTGTTAGAAAATCATTACTGAATATGCTGCCAATGAAGTATATTCTATTGGCTGTGCCCGACGGGTTATTTTTATGTTGTGCTTTCTGAAGAGAGGTTATGTTCAAAGTTATGAAGTACGAAAAACTGAGGAGAATTACGGGAAATCATCGCTTTGTGTGTAATTACTGTTAGCATGTATATGGCTTGTGATTCGACAGTGTACAGTGAATATAATTATTAATTATCTCTCTAATTTTTTTAAATTCAGCAAATTTGTATATGTAATTTCCAGAAAAAGTGTGAGCGCAACTAATATGTAGCTTTGAATCTCAATTAAGTGTATTTGAGACAAGAACCCAATGTAATTATCATCAACACATACGGGTACAACTTACAGCTTAGACCTCCAGTAATGCCATCTCAGAAGCAGATTTTACATCACATCAGAGCCAAAGATTGATAACAAGCCTCATGACGTTTAGGCAACATGTAGAATTAAGTGCTAAGTTAATATCTTGTAGAAAAACCTACATAATGTAAAAAAAAAACCAGCATAATGTTAAAAAACGGCATAATGTCACTTTTCAAGATACGTGATACCCGTGGCAGATTGCTTTCGTTTAACGTACTCTACTGTCTTTATATAAGTGAACATATACCTTAATTCACGAGTATCCATCACGCTTTGATGTCTACTGAGGTGAAAAGCTGATCAGCAAGTGACATTTTTGTGTTAGTCTGCAACGTTGGCTATAATGATTCGGGTGTAAATCTAACAAACATGTGATTGTAGCATTTTGTTTTTTGCATGCAAATGAACTTTTCTAAATAAAAGAGCGTTTAGCAAGTACAAAGTGATTCTGTAGTGTGCAAAAAACCAAAAGAAAATATGGCTTTGTCCTGGCATTGACGGCTCCATCAGAATTATGTGTTCTTTGCCGATATGGGGAATTTTGAAATATTACTAGATAACCAGCTGTCATTGTACCGTGATGGATACTCGTTAAATAGGGTTTACATTTGAGTATTTTGAATAGACTTACCCATTTGACTTCCCACGCCTATTGGCGAGATAGTATGTTTCTGGATGGTATATGACATGTACATTGTTGTCAACTAAGAATGTGAGGTGCTGTATCTGGGAACCTATCCATCAATTTAGCAGCCGCGGTGTCCCGGCATTTAGGCTTCTGCCTGCGCGGCTGCTTCGGTATAAAAAAATTGTGGACTTGCGGCAAAAAAAATTCTTACCAAGTAAAACGGCCAAGAGAAAAACCTGGAAAATATTTTCAAATTTCTGAAATGGCGGCTAGGGGGCGTAACGGCAATCTTGAGCCTTAAAAAAGTGATGTTTCTGTGAGCTCCGCTATATTAATTAACAAAAAATACCTTTAGCTCTGAAGTCGAGGATAATGTGAACTCTTTTGCTTAAGAATTTTTGCTGTGTCTCTAAAAATAAAGTGATGGGGGATATTCAAAGTTTTCCGTAAAAAAACATCCCGTATCTTCGAAACGGCTGAGCCGATTTTGACAAACTTCGGCTAGTTGAAAAGAGCTATTCCTGGGATACAAATATAATATTTGAAGTTTTGATTACTTTCACATGCGGCCTCTAGAGGACTAAATGAGGTCTAAACATACTCGCAAAAACCTCATCTTCGATATCTTATTTTTAGGCCAAAGAAAATTTTATACGGAAATCCCTTAAATTTTTGTTTTCTTAAACTAATTTATCTGGAATTTCTTTTTATTATTGAGTTCTGGCACTGAATAGGATCGATTAAAAAAAAGGAACGTATTTAATGCCTCCGTGAATGCTGACCATTACGCTCTATACATTCCTGAAGTCTCTCATGGGTAGACAAAACTGCAGCTTCAATTTCGGCGCTCGGTATGTTACGTATTGCATTTCGAATCCGGTTTTTCATATCTTCTCTGGTTGTAAGTTGAGTCTGAAACACGATGTCCTTTAAACGTCTCCAGAAATAAAAATCAAGACAAGTTAACTCTGGTGATCGCGAAGGCCATGTACGAGGGCGGTTCAATAAGTACCCGTGTTTGACGACAGAGGGCGTTCCTGAGGGAAGTTAATGTTATCACCGTGTGCTGCCATCTATCAGACGACGGCACAACATATTTTAGACTGACTGATAGGTTAGTTTGGATAGGGCAGCCATTCGAGTAACACGTGTTTCGTGATTTTCGCTAAGATGGAAGAAGAGCGGTAATTCGCTTTTTGTTTTTGGATGAGAAAAAAATGAGAGGACATAAAAGCAAAGTTGAATGCTGTTTATGGGGGCACTTCGCCATCTATGACCACAGTTAGATATTGGTTCAACGAATTTAAACGTGGGCGAACATCCGTTTTTGATGAGGATCGACCAGGACGCCCGGCAAACGTGGTAACCGAGAAAATCATTCAAAAAGTTCACGACATGATTCTCGATGATCGACGAACGAAAGTGCGCGAAGTAGCAGAGGCCGTAGGTGTGTCGACCGGCACGGAAATCAATATTTTACATGATAAGTTGGCTATAAAAAAATTGTCGGCCCGATGGGGACCGCAATTGCTCACTGTGGACAACAAGGGGATGCGGCTGTTAACTTCGAAGCAATGTTTGGAGCAATTTAACCGAAATCCGAAGGAGTTTTTGCGTCGAGTTGTCACCGTCGATGTAACCGGGATTCATCATTACACACCAGAAACTAAGCAACGATCAAAACAATGGATTTCTCCCGGTGAATCTGCTCCAAAGAAGGCGAAGACGGTCCCATCGGCCGGAAAGGTCATGGCAATGTTTTTTTGGGATGCGAACTGCGTCATCCTCGTGGATTTTTTAGAAAAAGAAAAAACGATCACTGGACAATACTACAGCGAGTTATTGGACCGCTTCGACAAAGCATTGAAGGAGTCACGGCTCCATTTGACGAAAAAGAAGGTGCTTTTTCACCACGATAACGCACCAGCACATTCATCCGGAGTTGTCGCCGCCAAACTGCATAAATTGCGTTATGAAGTGCTGCCGAACCCCCCCCCATTCACCCGATCTGCCCCCCTGCGACTTTTTCTTGTTCCCTGACATGAAGAAATGGCTCGTGGGGATAAAAATTAGCTCGAGGAAGTCATCGCCGAGACAGAGACGTATTTTGAAGAGTTCGACAAATCCTACTTTTTGGGGGGTTAAAAATGGCAGGAAGTTTGGAAAAAGTGTATTTTCCTAAAAGGGGATTATGTTGAAAAATAAAAAAAATTTGTTTGGAAAAAATGGTGTCTTCATTTCTAACACTTATTGAACCGCCCTCGTAAACAGACTGCCTCTTCCAATCCACCGCTGTTGAAACATTGCATTAATATGCTCTCGCACAATAATAGCAAAATGTGCTGGGCAACCATCCCACTACAAAAGTAAGTTTTCTCTTGTTTCCAGTGGCACATTTTCCAGCAACAACGGTAATTGATTGTCCAAAAAATCAAAAAAGACATTGCCATTTAGGGATTGCTTGAAAAAATATGGCCCAATAATTCTACCTCGCAGTATGCCACACCACACATTTAAACTCTAACGTTCTTGGTGCCGAACTTCACGCAACCAGTGCGGATTTTCTGCAGACCAATAATGCATACTGAGTAGGTTGACTCTCCCGTCACTATTAAAAGTGGCTTCATCGTTCCAAAGAATTTGAAATGAATATTCTCTATTTTCGCCTATCATGCGTAACATCCAATGGCGATAGTCCAACCTCCGATCAGTCTTCCTTTTTCAAGTTTCTGATGCAAAACGACATGATATCGGTGGCTAAATATGAAGGCTCGTTTTGAGATATTCACAATATGCTTTTATCATAAAATTTTAACTCTCAGGCAGCCTCATTACCTCTACGAGAAGTAACATTCAGAGAAGACATCCATTCCGTA